CTTTCCCTCCCTCTCCCGTATTCGGTCTCTTTTTTTAATGTTAATTATAGTACCATTTTGATCCATGACCCATATAATATTCATCCTTATCCGTTTTTTTGGGTACATTTTTGTTATATTCACCTGTCCATTGTTAATATAGTTTGCAGAAAAATAAAATAAAAAGACAAGGATGATATCTATTTGTTTGGAAAATTAAAAATAAAATAAAATAAATGAATAGGTAAAAATATTCTGAAAAACAACGAGTATCAAGTCTAAAATAGTATTGATCAATTCTCCATTGCATTCCTTAATCCTATGCAATAATGTAGCGGGAGAATAGTAACTTGTGTATGGTGATTTTTATTATTGTCAGGGTGGTCCTCTGTTTGTAACATCTTTGTATAAACACTGTTTCAACACAGATTTGTATTAAAAAAAAAAAATACAAGACATAGGACCATACTAATTCAAAGAATACTTTATATAAACACTATTTACGGTCTCTCTATTTTATATAGTTTACCAAACTTAGGGAACAATGCTGTTTATCAATTAACTTATTAGTTAATTTTATCAACCGCCTTCAATTTAATTAGCTTTTTGCATTTAACTTAGTTTATAGCTTATAAACTTCGGCCAATTTATAAAAGTTTAATTAATTTATGTTAATTTTACCAAATATGTCCTTAATATGTATCAACTTTTACAAAAATTTTCATTCTAATTGATAATTTTAAATTTAGGCCCTTAATATTGTATCAACTGATACAAAATTTTTCAATCTAATTAATAATTTTAAATTTACACCCTTAATATACAGTTATGCTAAATATTTGGATGAAGTTGTTCATAATAATCATATTATCTTCTATAAATAAATTTGATTCTTCGTCTAACAAGAAGAGTTTATCCGCTTAAACAATTCCATCAACTTAATTTGTATTAATCAAGATTTATACACTTGTATCATATTGTATTTTCCTTTTATGTATATATATATATATATATATATATATATATATATATATATAAAAGGAACATATCAAGTGAGAGAAAATTTATTATGAGAGATGAGAAGGTTAAAATATAACCCTTAGATTAATCAAGTGAGAGAAAATTTGGGGTTTAATCAAGTGAGAAGAAATTAATTTAAGAGTTATATTTTAACCCTCTTACCCTCTCATAATAAATTCCCTCTCACTTGATATGCTCCCTATATATATCAACTTTTAAATATTTCACTTATTATTTAATGTTACTTTTGTTGAAAATCTATAGATTCTTATATTACTCTTATATTACATGTCAAATGATAATTGGATCTTATACTTTTTTTTATTAATTCTTCTTACATATTAAATATGAAAAGAATTAAATACATTTTATGTTTTGAAGATATAGAAGCAAGATGATACATCGTCATTATTCGGGCTAGTGAAATAGTTTAATGATTAATTAAGAGGGTAAAAAAACTGCTAATTGACTTTAAAAGAGTTAGACAGCATAGAAATTTAATTAAGAGGATAAAAAAGCTCAAAATAATAAATGTTATAAAATTGATTGCACTGAAATGCAAATTACGGGAAATTAGGGGTAGTTTTGTGAAAGAAAAGAAAAGGAAAAAAAAAAAAAAAGAGATGGTCACGGTCAACAACTTCCCATGAACGGTAAACCAAACCTCGAGCTCACTGTTTCAACATGTTACGACACGTTTCAACACACTATCTCTGTAACATGTTACGACACGTGACTTCATGCACACTGTTTCAACACCAGGAGGAACTATGAAAATATGAATTTCTATTCTTCTCTGATTTCCCAATGCGCACAAACAAAATCGTTAAATGCCCTCAGAGCACTTCACACCATCGTCATCAAATCCGGTTTGTCATACTTGTTCTTCGGTCACAAGCTCATTGATGGTTACATCAAGTGCGGCAACCTCACTGAGGCACGCAAGTTGTTCGACGAATTGCCCAGCAGACACATAGTTACTTGGAATTCGATGATCTCTTCTCATATCAACCATGGGAAGAGCAAAGAAGCCGTTGAATTCTATGACAACATGCTTGTGGAGGGTGTTATACCTGATGCTTACACCTTCTCTGCCATCTCTAAGGCTTTTTCAGAGCTGGGTCTGCTACGCCATGGCAAGAGGGCTCATGCCTTGACTGTGGTTTTGGGGTTGGAGATCCTGGATGGGTTTGTTGCCAGTGCCCTTGTTGATATGTATGCAAAGTTTGATAAAATGAGGGATGCCCATTTGGTGTTTGACCGTGTTTTGGAGAAAGATGTTGTCTTGTTCACTGCATTGATTGTGGGTTATGCTCAGCATGGTCTTGATGGGGAAGCTTTAGAGGTTTTTGAGGACATGGTCAATAGGGGAGTCAAGCCTAATGAGTATACTCTTGCTTGTGTACTGATTAGTTGCGGTAATTTTGGGGATTTAGTTAATGGTCAGTTGATTCATGGTCTTGTAGTTAAGTCTGGTCTGGAATCTGTTGTTGCTTCACAGACTTCGCTCCTTACCATGTATTCAAGATGCAACATGGTTGAGGATTCTTTTAAGGTGTTTAATCAGCTTGATTATGCAAGCCATGTGACTTGGACATCTTTTGTAGTGGGGCTTGTGCAAAATGGGAGAGAGGAGGTTGCTGTGTCAATATTCAGGGAAATGATTCGTTGTTCAATAAGTCCAAATCCTTTCACATTGTCCAGTATTCTTCAGGCATGTTCGAGCCTTGCAATGCTTGAAGTAGGAGAACAGATCCATGGCATAATTATGAAACAAGGATTAGATGGAAATAAGTATGCTGGTGCAGCACTGATTAATTTGTATGGAAAATGTGGAAATGTAGACAAGGCGAGGTCAGTTTTTGATGTGTTGACTGAGTTAGACGTAGTAGCCATCAATTCAATGATCTATGCTTATGCCCAAAACAGTTTTGGGCATGAGGCACTTAAGCTGTTCGAAAGAATGGAAAAATTAGGACTTGTGCCAAATGGTGTGACATTTATCAGCATTCTCTTGGCGTGCAACAATGCAGGATTAGTTGAAGAAGGATGTCAAATATTTGCCTCAATTAGAAATAATCACAATATTGAATTGACAAGAGATCATTTTGCCTGCATGATTGATTTGCTAGGACGATCAAAGAGATTTGAAGAGGCTGCAATGTTGATAGAGGAAGTGAGAAATCCGGACGTGGTACTATGGAGGACACTGCTGAACGCATGTAAGATACATGGAGAGGTAGAAATGGCAGAAAAAGTTATGAAAAAAATCCTTGAGCTTGCTCCTGGGGATGGGGGAACACATATCCTCTTGACAAATCTTTATGCTTCAGCTGGGAAATGGAACCAGGTCATTGAGATGAAAAGCACAATAAGAGATCTTAAATTGAAGAAAAGTCCTGCAATGACCTGGGTTGATGTTGATAGAGAGGTGCATACTTTTATGGCAGGAGATTTGTCTCATCCAAGAGCTCATGAGATTTTTGAAATGTTGCATGGATTAATAGAGAAGGTTAAAACTCTGGGTTATGATCCTGATACCAGATTTGTATTGCAGGATTTGGATGAAGAGAAGAAAATCAGTTCTTTATATTATCACAGTGAAAAATTAGCTATAGCTTTTGCTTTATGGAAGACTATTGGTAGGACTACTACTATCAGGATTTTTAAGAATCTTAGAGTTTGTGGTGACTGCCACAGTTGGATAAAATTTGTTTCCTTACTTACTGGGAGAGATATTATTGCTAGAGATACAAAGAGATTCCATCATTTCCAAGGAGGGATATGTTCCTGTAAAGATTACTGGTGAATCACATTCGTTATATATCCTATCCCTAGCCTAGCCAGTGTCAGTGAAGGTAAGGTAACCATGCATGATTATTCATCTGGTCCATCGTCTTGTCATAACTCTAATTGTTTATAGGGTAAAATATGGTATTGCTCCCTGTAAAAGTTTTTATTTTTTGAAAAAAATTGTCTTAGTGGCAGTTTATAACTGCTTTTTGTGGAGGTTTATAACTGTCATTAAATGTTAATTTAACACTTTAAGGATCAAAAGTTGAGTGTTTTCAAATAAGAGATGAAAATAAGAAAAGAAAACTTTTTTAGAACTAAAAATGAATTTAAAATATTTTAGAAGGACCAAAATATATTTTATCCTTATTTATGCTGCATCTCGTAACTCGTTGGACAAAATTACAAAATTAGATGGCCTAGCAGAAAATGATGAAATAGATATCTTATCTTTAGTAAAGTAAATGAAATAAAAAAAATATTTAATAAAAGCTAATTACTAATAAATAAAATCGATTTAATATTTTTATATAAGTATTGAAAAATTGTTAGAAAAATATATTGTATACACAGATGGCTTGTCTCATTACCCAACTAGCCAATTACACAATGCATACTTCCAGCATGCAAGAGCTAGACTAGACTAACGATGATTATAAAACAAAGGTTATTTCATATAAACTTCTCGATAAATACTTATTAAAAATAGAAATAAAATAAATTAAATATCTCTCATGAGTTAAAATCTAATTTATGTACTTTAATTTTTATAAAAATTATCTTATTTAATTCTTCATAGTGTCAGTTTTATTTTATTCATAAGTTATTATTTTGTCATAAAAGTTTAATTTATTTTTTATTTATTTATTTTTCTCATAAGTGTTCTTAAAATATTTATTGAAAAAAAACCGTAATCAAATGAAAAATTAGATCAAACTATTTTCATAAAATATAACAAAAAAAAACTTATTAAAATAATTTAAAATTATGAATATATTATAAATAATTTTCATAAGTTTTCTCTATCATTTAAGATATGTTTGATTTGTTAAAATTTGTAGTACTAAACAAAATAAATATATTTATCTTATGTTTGATTTACAAAAAGTCATGAGACAAAATAGAAAATATAAATGATGAGATAAAAATCTAACTTTTTGTTACTCAATAAATCACGAACAATTTTTTTTCCGTAAGTATAAAATCATTCACTACCATTACTTGTATTAACATCATCCCAATCATTAGTTCTTATCATCACAATCCAACACCGTCATTGCCTAATATCACTATCACCAACCACCACTGTTATTACAATCCATCACCATTCTATCACTATCATTATCGTTATGATTGTTATCATTATTATCATTATTATTATTGTTTCCATTAAGATAATAATAATTATAATTAAATTTTTTTTAAAAATATTGTAATGAATATAACATCATTTTCACGTAATCCAATTCACCTAATTTATTTTTTTTCAAAAAAATATATCATTTTATTTGTTTTGTCTGTTACCCACCAAACAATACAAAAAACTAAAAATTGTCTAATAACTTGAACATTTATCTTGTACTATTCTCTTTATCTTTATATCTTAATGTATATCAAACACATTCTTAAATATGTATTAATGTCATAAGATAAATCTAAACAAGTTGTAAATAAATTCAACCAAACAAAGCCTTGATGCTTATTCTACATACATTTATTACAAGAGAATGTATTAAGCACTTAAATTCATTAAGTTATTTATTTATTTTATCCATCAGGATTATAATGTCTGTATCAAGATTCAAATTTCCGACTCTATATTATCCAACCCCCACCACTAGTCAACCCTGATGTTTCAGCTATTTGTGTTTGAACATGTACCTCAAAAACGCTTATACAAAATTGTTACAAACTTCAAGATTCCTATCTTCATCGGTTAAAATTAAGAGAGGTAATACATTGCTCGTTAAAATCATTTGAATGAATACAATATATCAAGTATTAACTCGTGAGATGTGAGTTCTTTTGCATAGTGCAACATAAATTTGGAGAGTGACGTAGTAGGTTAGGATATTTATTTTTAATCTATGAATTGAATAATTATGTTGCTCAAGATATTCATATTTTCCTCATTTTAGAAATTATTTAAGATTTTTATTATCTTTTGAGTTATAAATACTATTTAGATATCTAATACAATTTAATTTTTTGCATAATTAATATTTCCTTTATTTATAAAATATACAAAAAAATGAATTTAAGAAGCACCTTTAAACTTAGCAAAAGAGCATTCTTGTAAAAAAAAAATATATTACTTTTGTCCCTAATTATAAAACAATTTAAACTAAATTACATCTCTTAAAAAATAACTAATTTAGTTTAAAATATTAAACTTGGCAATATTTTAAATTACTTTATCAAAATTATCATTAACATCTCTTCCTCGTAATCATTTCTCATCAAATTAATTAATATTTATAAGAGATATCTAAATATCTAAAAGAATTGTTAATTAAATAAATATATTTTAGAGAATATATAATTAATGCAACTGATAATTTAAAATGTCCTATAAAAAAGAACAAACAAAAAAGTAAAGAGTCTTGTATATAAGTTCGAAGGTAGTACCCTTAATTGGTTAATCAGGAAATTACTTTATCAAGTAAAAGTCTTGCATCACTACAATTCTCACAAACTCTCACAAGTTTAGCTAGTAATGAAACTTACATATAGATGACAAAACAGATAATGCATGACTAGTAAGAGTGCAAGACATACATGAGGGCCATTAATCCAGGTTAATATTATGGCTAATTATTACATTATAGATCAATGTACATATTGGATTGGATAACGTCAGACTCAATTTTCAAAATAAATGAATTCATTTCTTTTCTAAAAAAATTCAACCAATCTAGCTCAGTTAAATATCATGGGTCAGTTGTTATAATTGAAAGCCAAACCAACTTACTAACCCATGTTCTAGTTCGGATTTTGAGCAACTATTACAAAGAGCCTTACCGCAAACAAATAACAAATTAACTGAAATGTTATGGGTGCAAGAATATAGAAAAACCAGCTGCTGTATATTACAACTGTAATCGGCTATTTACAGTGCTCTGGGTTGCTAAAACTGTCAATTGTATACAAAACAAGAGTGTCATGAGAGTGAGTCTAAATATCAGTACTTGATCGTGTGGTGGCGTAACCAGAGGTCATACATAACCATATGGAAAGCATCAAATCTGATCGGGGGTGAATTCCATTGGAAGTGTTTCTGAACCTGATAGAACATGAAACAGCTTTATGAGCTCCAGCACATCAACGAATCAACAAACAAATCAATTTGCAATGAAAAATTCTACCGACCAGACAATCACTGGTGATAAAATATTTGGACTCCATTTTCTCAGGGCGTTTTAAGTTAACGAAAATTTTTTATTTTTACTTTCTATTTTTACTATAATTAAAAAAATACTACCATTTCTAGTCTTTGTTTCTTGATTTTAAAGACTTGCGTATCAAGTGATAATAACAACATAATTTTATTTTCATTATTTCTAATAAAAATCAAGAAATAATGTACAAACAAAGAGATAGTTTTATAATTCGTAGTGAAAATAAGAAATAAAAAACAGAAAACATTTCCTTTAACCAAACAGGCTATTAATTTCTTTCTTTTCTTTGGCACATTCTAAATTTCTTTTCTAACCAATGGCTTTTCAAACAACATAAATAATAACCTCTATAAAGAAAAATAAAATAAAATTTGTAGCATTCAAAGGTCTTTCTGAACTAAAAGCAAAGGGTGCAACACACATGTTGGAATGCCACACAACATAAAAGCAAAAAAAATATAAGATGTAATAAGAGGATTCATACCTTTACTAAATTATTATGAAGTGCCACAAACTCTTCATACGATATATTTTTGAGGATTTGTTTAAGCTGGTATACATCTTTCTCCTTGAGTACAACAGCAAATTTATTCCAGTCAAGAATATCATTAAAAGGAAGGTCATAGTAATTTGACAATATCACTGCAAAACAACATTAAAACTTCAGGTCAGTTACAAGGTCGTCTACATGCATCCTGTCCCAAAGGCAAGAAAAAGCCAGAACATAAATTTATTCAAACCAAGTTACAGTTCAAATGTCATTCACAACTTCCTACATGTACTTCTTTTGAGATCCAAAGTAAACATAACACGCTAAGGGGATTCTACTGAATTTGACATTTATTACGCTAAAGAGGGTTTATGTGCACAATCCTTTTTTACAAAAGAATTCTACTGAATTTGACATTTATTATCACCCTCCAATAAAGTACTTCAACATTGACTAAGGTGATTGGACGGGTAGAGCTTGGGTGGATAGTCCTAAATTTGATCCCTAGGCACTCTCTTGTATTCCAAAATACAACCTCCACTCCCTCCAACAGTCCAACAATAAAATAGTTGCAATTAACAAATCTGCCTTTTCAAATTGAAACAACAAACATATATATTTAAAGCTAATTAATTAATTGATTATTAAACCACCATATTTCAGACACTCAATTATCATCCCACAATAAAGTTGCAATTCCAGTAGCAACCAAAGGATAATCGGTCTACACAAGGATAGGATACGCAAATGTTTCTTAATAAACACAAGTTAATTCAGATTTTAACACAAGCACAATGGAACCTGGGCATTTAGTGCCAATACAAGAAATATGCAAGGCAAATATACCAATCTCATACCATACATGAAACATGACAAAAATCATCAGACAATAAGTATTCAGTTTATATATACATGTACTGTCATATAGATATGCAATTTAAGAAGCTTAATATGCAACTATACAATCAGAGGGGAAATTAATCATTAGAAAGGATGATCTTACCAGGGATGCACCCATAATGGATAGAGTCTGCTATTCGAGCACTATTAACCTGTGATCCACCAGGACATATACAAAACTTACTCCTGTAAAATCTCTTCTGGTACACTAGATGCCCAGTAGCCCTACTAATTCTGTTGTTAGAAATATCAAGTTCTGTGTCATTTTCCCACACACGTGCAAGTATAACTCTAATTTTAGAGTTACGATGACCAGCCCAGAATCCAAGAGTAGTCCTGCAAAGCACAAATTTATCAATTTTCAGAATTAATAAATATGCATGTAGAACCATTGTCTATTGATCATACAGGACAAACTATGATTAAAAATTATCAATGCATCAGCAATACTAATTAATCTTCTGAAATAAATCATCTAAGTATCCCTACTAATTTTGTTGCTTGAAATACTGATTTTACATTACATTTTCATACTACTTTACATTGAAACCCAGAAAAGCATTTCGTTGACATATGCAGATTAAGTCACAAAAGTCACTAACTTTTTTTTAACGTATTTGGCTCTTTTTAAGCAGTGTGTGCTCCATGGAAGATATTAAGATCCACAACATAAATAATGTTAAATCAGGTTACCAAAAATTGAAGAGCAGCTATAGAATACTACAAAAACTAAAGACTTGTGTGTCATGAGCAAATTTGTGATAAAAGTGTTTATACACTCTGAGAAATATGAAGTAATTTCCATCATTATCAATCTATCATCAAGTGACCATAAAAGGATTAAAAAAACGCTTCAAAAGCAGGATGGTAAGTCATCTAAATAGAAAAATCTAATCTCCAAAACATAACCTGCACCAATTTGGGAGAAGAATCTAACAAAAAATTTCACCTGTTTTCTGTGTCATTCCCTCCAGCTGGAAGAGCAAATGGCTGTAGCACTTGAGGGAGAGCGACATCCTTGTGTGGAATGAATCCAACATCATAGCTGGGGGAGCACACTGCTCGAATGGAATTCTTTACAAGAAATTCAAGTCCTTCCGTAGCCCTCACACCAACATCATGACAAGTGACAAAAAAGTGATCAGCACCCAAGGTTCTGTTCCAATAAGGATATTTGGATATCAAGCCCTCCACATAATTTTGTACAATTATCGTCATATTCTCATACGATGTGCCCTGCATAACACACAAGCATGAGACCAAATTCCACCCAGAAGCGAACACTTAATCATCCAAATCCAATCCAAGTTAAGCATTGTCAATCTTCCCTTTCTACTCATCATTTCTCTTATTATTTTTGATTTGGACTTAACTCAATCCCAAAAGCTAGTTTAGGAGACAAGAATTGCAATCCACTTATATACATAATTTTAGCTATATATAATTTTTTTATGTTTTATATGTGGGATCTCTAACACATATCCCTCACAGATGTCTCGATTATATACACTATTTCAGTTATCTCACTAGTCTTATGCAAGATCTCCAACATATACCCTTCAGAGTTGCCTCCCACTTATATGCACTACTTTGGCCATATCACTAGTCAAATGTGAAATCTCCAACCCAAGACATCTAGTCATATATCCCTTCTATGCAAAACCAGACATCTACCTGTGATACGTGTGATCTGATAAGACAGACCCAACAACAACTACTAGTTTAGAATTTAAAATTTGGGCTTAAACCAATCCCAAAAGCAAGTTGCCCCCACTTATATATACTATTCTGGTCATATCACTACTCAATGAATGTGAGATCTCGAACAATTTCCTTTTTAAGCAATAATCCATAGTGAGTACTACTCACTAGCAATGCATGGCTAAAACAAGATTCCACCATAGATCTCAACAGAAAGGGGGGGGGGGGG